CCATCGTAATAACAAATTAAACAAAATTGTGCATAAGTAAAGCAATTGCTTGATTAAAGATTATTCAAAAACTGGCTTGACAACCTACAATGGCACGTCATAGCTGGCGATATTCCTCCGCACCCTGCCCAAAGAGAAAATACGAAATAATGAGCAGTTAATTATTCCAAGAAGAACATTTAATGCAGCGATAAATACGTAAACACATGAAAATATGCTCTATGCACTTTTACATTCAACGAAGAGTAAAAAAAAAAGAAAGAAAAAAGAAAGAAAAAAAAGAAAAAAAGAGGCGCACTAGAGTATCTCGTTGACTTGGGCAGTTCTCAGCAACGTCTTGCTTTCATGAATAAAGCCGATAAATAAAGTGGCTTGGCTGGTACACACACACACTATCTCTTCCTCTCGGAGTAATAACATTAGCGGTTGTAAAGCGTAAGTTAATTAATTCCAGCATTGTAGCCGAGTTAACTCGCTTAAATTTCTTGGCGGGCGGGTTGAGGTGGTGGGAAGGGCGGGCCAGTGGAAGGGAGTTTGGTGGATAGGTTGGGGTCAACGAGGGCGGAAGAGGGCCCTTCAACATTGTGCTCCCGGGTGATCCTTGGGGTTGAATCACGGTCGATCGGTCCGACCAATTAGATAGTAATTAGGCGCCGCGTTGACGATGTGGATGACGGAACACGGCCGATGCCGGCACTCTTATTATCTCGGGGCCGATATCTTTCTCTCACGAGGACAGGCACGGCAACGCCTCCCCGGTCTTTCCGCTGTCGGCTTTTATTTTTGTCTAGTTCGTCGCGCTCCTATCACTCGCTTTCCCTCTCTCCCGTGGCCTTCCTCTCTCCCACCGCAGTGCAATTTTAATGCGCGCCAATGATAATCGTACTTTCTTTATTTTTTGCCAACGAATTCGAGTGTGCACTTAATTGATATTACTTGGGACAGGCAAGCGTGCGTGCGTGCGTGCGTGCGTGCGTGCGTGCGTGCGTGCGTGCTTGCGTACGTACGTGCAATCGTATGTACTTTCTAATAGTTCTTTTCTTTGGGGATGTGAGAAGGGAAACGTGTAGGAGGCTTAAACGCGATGTGATTAGGTACGCTTGCAGCGCTGAAATTTTAAGGGTTATCGTACCTTGTACCTCGTGCTCGACGTAATATCTTTCCAGCGCTACAATTGATAAGCGATAATAAATTTCCTTTAAAGATAGCGTTCGAACCTTTCATTTTCACATCGGGGCAAAAATAAATCTTCAACAACTCGATAACCGGGCATTATGCATGAATTGTCATTTTAGTTTTCTTTTACTGTATCCTTATGCGATCTGGCACAGAGGGATGTCAATGCGTTTGTGTTTTAAAAGTCTCGTTATTGACTAGTCGTTAAGGAGATTAGGTTAGATTACATTATTCGCAAAATATTAGCTGGTTAAAGGATATTGACTATCGTTGGTAGGGCACTAAGCTCTCTTCATCAAAGCCTTTCATTGCTCGATGCTACTTCAATGAAATTTAAAAAATTCCAATTCACGTTTTTGCGTCGTATATAATATCATCGATACATTGTTGATTTCTTGATGCGATATTGGTACGTTTATTTGATAATTTATTACATCGTTGTAGGTAAAATATTATTAAATGTAAATAAGAAGGACATGTACAGAGATCGGTTTAGTTAAATACTTGATAGCATTTTTTTTCTCTTCAATCTTGCCAAATAGTTATACTATACATATGTAACCATTTCCATTACTATGAATTCCTATTGCGCTTTTTGTTTTATGCCATTCGAGTGAAAAACCGGTATAAAAGCATAATCAGCGTTTATTGTGCTCTATAATTAAGGATTTAAAAAGCCCAATAAAAGAGCTCAAGCACGGCCAATCGTATTATTATGCATTTGCAATTAAAGGAATCGCCGGAAGTGTCCTAGAAGGGGATTATGTCAGGCGGTAGAAAGTCCACGGAAGCGACTTTTCGACGCTTCAAGCCGAAATATGCCTTAATCGCATCTATAGGAGCTGAAGAAGCGGATGATGAAGAGGAGGATGGACCTCTTCCATGAAATCAATGGTAGAAATCGGTGAGCCGCGGCGTGCGAAAGCCAATTCCAAGGTTGTTCACCTGACCAATTACGCGATAGCCTGCAATTAAACGTAAAACATGAGCAAGCACATACGGTGGTTACCAAGGGACCTCGCTTCTCCCTCCCCCTCCTATCCCTCGCCCTTGATACACAAAAACGATTCGGCGTGTCGAATGATTGATGGTGGAGGAATTTTTCGATATTTTTTTTTCGCCTCTCTCTCTCTCTCTCTCTGTCCCGCTTTTTATGCGTGACTGAAGATTAAACGTTTCGCTGAATGATTCATTTGTGTGGAAGTAAATATTTTATTTGTACTGCGTTGCAGTTTTCCTGATCGTTGTTTATAGTTCCCGGAATGATGCGACTTAAGCGGGAATTTCCGCAATTGTGGAAAATCTGCACGCTGGCCTGAAATCGTGGTGGGGCGATAAAAAGGAAAATAGGATTTACTTTAAGCGATTAAGGACCGAGTTTCAGCGAGTCTCTCCTACAATATTGTTCTAAATTTATTTATATACGAATATAATGTAGATATATATATTATACTACTATATACATACATAAACATATCTACGAATTATGTAAAAATATTACTTAGCAATCATTTATATAGTTTTCCATTTTAATGCATTATTATACTTGGAAATAAGCACTCAGAATTACGATATATGCTTCCGCGTATAAAATATTTTCCTTGAAATTATTAAAAAAAACGGTTAGAATGGCTATTTTGGTTGAATCCATAATAGATGCACGGAAAATATCAAAATTACACTTGCATTATTTTCTAAAATCGACATGAAATTTATAAGCTATTTTCTTTAATATACCAAATTATAAAATTATATTTTTGACAAAAGAAAATGTAAAAATATTCTATTCATACATAAAAGTAAGCTGTAATTTTACTAAATACAGGTCCACAGTCCATTGTTTTCAACTTCTTTTGTCTAATTTTTAACCATTTCCTTGGCTCAACGATATTTCGTATTTCGTAAATTGAGCTTTTAAAAATAACAATATCCGGTCATGCCCATATTACGTGCGAGGATGTATATCCATACAGGCACACACGCGCACGCGCACGAGCACACGCACATGCACGCACGGACGCCACCAAACATTAAAAAAAGCAAGATTCGCCACAACATTTATCCTATATCCATGGCATGACATCAATAAACGAACTTCCAAACCTTTCGTCCGTGCTCCTTACGTCATCTTGCCAGCGAGTTGAATGCAGTTGACTTTCTACATGCCTCTCTTTCTCTCGCTTCTTTCAGGTCAGACACCCTTTGGCCCCTTTCCTTTCTTTTTTTCTTCATACTCACACAGCACACGCGAACCATGCGGATCCACTCTTGGCCGTCTTCGATCGCGCTGCTTTTCCCCAACGTTTTTCTCTCTCGAGCTCACGAGCGGACACAGACAGCAGTAGCTAACCGAGGCCGGCAAAAGGAGGAGAAAGGTGCTCTCGACCTCATTTTTCGCGGCGTTGGACGACCTTTAGAAGGCCCCCACCGAAGTCGTCAACACACGCGGAAGCGGAAGCCGCGGACTCGGGCAGCATGCATCGGGCAATAGGCACCAGCGTTCCGACACTTATCAATGAATGAGAAGACGGCACTGATAAGACACTGGGAGGTGTGGTGTACCGTCCTTGACGTCGCGCTAGGGCTGCTTCTTTTTCCCACGGGTCTCTACTCAAGCGTCTGTGCACGCGTGCCTGCGGTTTTTTACTGTCGGTCGAGCAAAAGTTGCGTGTGGCTTTTTCCGGAAGAATGATGACATAGTGAAACAGTTTTTCCCTCAGGTTTTACCCGATTCTATGTGCCCTGTGCCCCCCCCCCCTCTCATCCCCCCTCTCTCTCTTACCCCACTCCCCCTTCCCAACACCATCAACGTGTTTTTGAGTATGTGCGTTTATAAACATTTTTTACATTATACTTCCTTTTATTGATTCGTCTATAGCGACGTGTCAATTTGTTATAAACGCTGCTATGGTGAAGGGGATTCGAAAATTTTTAAGAAAATGGCTATTAGGTAGGCATGCTCGGCTCTTTTATTGCCATTTGTATTTTTATTTGTATTATTGTGCTCGTTAAGTATAACAAGCGAGTACTGGATTTATTCGTTAAACTCCCTTTATGCGCGCATTTATCTTATAAATACACATGATTATTTATTTTTATTATAAATGCTAAATCAATATTTTCGTTTAGAGTGATATTTGGTTATTTGTATTTCATTATTAAGCCTACGATTTATCAGCATTTTAGTATATCAGGCAGTGTGTACCTCACAATAAAATGCATTTACAGCAAAATATAATATTTTATATCTCTACATATATTATAACTGTGCAAATTATTAAAAAAAAATTCTAAACCTACAGATGACATAAGAATTTTCATTTACATTTCATTAAGTTGTAAAGTTTTATAATTGATAATGCAATAAAGACGAACATTCGTAGAAAATTATTAAAGTCCAAGGTTGGCTATCCATTTTCATTGTGCAGTAGAGGGATCATTTAAAATTCTTCGAAAGCCTTTGATAAAATCGGTATTTTTTTTTATCTATCATAAAACTATGGGAAAACTTTCCTCTGGAGCCTCTGCGCATGATTACGCAATATATAGACAACATCTAAGCATACCCATAAATACATATAAATAGCATGAGCGTAAATTAATTTTTCGCTTTATTTTTTCTGTAATTGATCGTCGATGCTCGCAATAAATGTATAATTAAAAGCAAAAAGAATGTAACAACTGTGCCAAATACGTTGACACGTGCAATCGTAAAGTTTAGATTCGTGGAATACTTCGTTTTCATGAAATGAGGCAAAATAATAGAAAAAAAAAATTAAATTAAAAACATTGCCACATAACTTTTATATATTAATACAATGTAGGATTAACATTGGGGGAGGATGGTGGTGGTGGTGGTGGTGGTGGTGGTGGTGGTGGTGGTATTGGCGACAAGGTTAATATCTGTATTTATATTGCTCCATTAGCAAAATAAATACATTATAAATTATGTTAATATCAAAAATCTTAGAATAGATTTACCAAGATTATCTTCGACTCAACTATATTGGGGTAACGAGGTCGATAATAATAAAAATTATAATAATACAATTTGTTATATTTATTTTATCTTAATGTAATTTACAGCTTATTCGTTCGAACGCATAAATTTAAATTACAATGCAAACTTTATTAATCATTTTAAATAAAAGAAGAGTAAAACTGAAGGAAGAAACTCTTCGCATCGGTTGGTCGCGATCGGCACAGGTATAATCGCAACGAACAAAAGAAATAAACAAAGATATGAACCTGATGCGCCTAAAAAAAGAAAGAGAGAAAGGACGAAAAAAAAGAGAGAGGGACATATTCACTCGCATAACCCGAAGCGCGTTATCAATCATCCGCCTGGATTTTTCGCCGCCGCAGCGTCCGAAGGTCTGAGGGAGATCCTCTGTAAGGTCGATTCGTCTCACGACTGCCTCGGAGACTTTTTCCTTTTCCTTTTCCTTTTTTTTTTTTTTTTTGGTTGCTTCATTTTTCTTTTTAGGCGAAGATAGAGGCAAGAGTGAGAAAGGTAGAAAGACAATCAAAGCCCCGTGAATGTAACAACTGTGTACATCTTTGCGTTTTATCTTGACATTCGAGAGGGCAAAGTTTTAAATAAATATTGTGAACAATAGCCATTTTACGTCGAGCTTAATAAATATATTTGAAAGTTGCACGGAAGTATTGATTTCTTTACGATAATTTATTGTAAAATTTGAACGAGATTTACAAAAGACTTGTTCGGTAATGTGATACGATTAATGCCATAATGCAGTATTGATTATTTTAATAATGTTCACGACTTTTTCATTATCATATTATGATCACTACTCTTTCTTTCTTTTTGATATATCAAATTAAAATTTATCTATCTATTATTAATTTAACAATATTTTTTTTCAAAATTATTTTTAGAAACCAGTGAATTAACAAAATGTATATTGATTTATATACAATAATGTTGTTTCTTTTTATTAAGCCTCGTAAAAGTGTTTTTGCTCATCCTACACTTCATAAATCAGGCGAGATGTGGCGGAAAGATATTTTATACAAGAATCATTATTGCCCCTATAAAAAGAAATTCTCGCTAGTAAACGAATATATCAATTAACAGTTGTTTAGCTAATTATATACTTGAAAATTTAAAAGTAGAATAGAAAAACATACTGGGGTGTATCAACAATATATATATCTATATATATATATATATATAAGGTCGCTGATAAGTTGAGCAAAGCTATATTCATACGGGATTTAATACACTAATTTATTCAACTATATGTTGAAACACTTTTAGTAATTGTTTCTAGTATTTTTGTACGTAGCAAATGAATGTGCACATGCAACATTTACGAACTTTGTACTTTTATTAAGTATAGCCTCTGTAACATTGAAATTAAATATTTTTCAGTGCTATCTTTTTATTCTAGCATTGGAAGAGCTTTAATAGTTGTGATTACAAGTTCTTGAAAGTGATTATAGAATTTCATTCGGTCTTATATGTAATTGTTTCGAGTCTGTTTCTATTTATGATATTTCATAAAACACTAAGGAATCCAATTATTTAATATTTTTATAAGTAGGCATTTATTTTCTCAAAATAATTATAAACGTAATCCGGCGATATTAAACAACAAACAAACACACCCACACGCGCGCACGCACTAACACACACACACACACACACGCGCGCGCGCGCACGAGTTTATATGTTTATATTCAAATAATTTATTTGACGAATTAATATGTGAAAAATTATAGGCAAAACGTCAATTTGACTTATGATTACACTCGTTTTGATCATAATATTATTTTTCATAGATTTCTTATGCTTCTAATATTCTTAATATTAAATTTTATCGATATTTTTGTATAAATCTTCCTTTCTTTGTATTCATTTCATGTCAAGCTCACATAAGACTCTGCTTTCACGAAAACTTTCTCAGCTCCATAACCTTTCTGAAAAATTCTTTTAACTCAAAAGGTCACTGTATTATTATGCTAATTTGAACGAATATGTTAATAACCCATCATAGATAACTGATATTTAATCATTGTATTATTTCTCAGAATATTTGTCACTTTTATCAGTCATATAAATCGTTATCATTGGAAATGATATGAGCGAAGCCTCAAGTTTACAATCAGACAAATTCTCTAAGACATTGAGACTCGCTCACTAAAAACAAAAGTTAACAAATGTTTTTACTATTCTAGTAAGGAGGAAATTTTAATGCACAAAATAATTCAAAGCAATTCTTATAAAATTTCTAAGAAACGCGAAAGACTTCAAGAAAGTGTTGACGAACTCGAGATATTATTATATCTAGATAGTCATCAGGGGTATATCTTACCTTAACTGGATATTATATTTCTTCTAATTAACATAAAAATATCGTCTATGCAAGCCGATCTTTCCGATAAGAAAGAAATGGGGAAAGTATGCGTTTATCGAGTATGCTTATTATTAGGAATGGTAATTTGTGATAATGGTAACTGTGCCTAGATTAATATTAATTATGAATTTCAATTTACAGATTTTTTTTTTTTTTTTTTTTTTTTTGATTTTTCATTTTAGCTTAATCTACTTCTCAGATTATAGGGTTCGGTAAAAATGTCTATCAACCCTCTCGACAAAGTATAAATATTCGCTGAATATTAATTGGAAAGTAATTTACGAGCCAGTTGCATTATTATAGCCATGGATCAGAAAATGTGGCGCTGTCAAAAATCATTAGAAGTGCTATTTCATTGATTAATGTGCATTTTTTTTTTTTTTTTTAATTGTCTCTTATTATTCCGTAATTTGAATCATGCTGATAGACTTTTCTTTTTGTACGTTTTACGGGAGATTCAATTTATTACTGTCGTTGTAACTCGTAAGCCCGGATGGTATAACGGTAATACTCCAATTGGAAGTAATATTAAATCCTCATATGCGTTATCCATAACAGATTTTATTAGCGGATAGATCAGTCAATGCCATTATATTTACATTTTCGTTTGTTTGAATTATGCTGAAATTAAGCATATTGAATATGTAATTCGGTGTTTTTATAGCTACGTGTCAAATGTTCTTGTTAGCGGGAAAAACACGAATAATTCCGATGAGGAATAAAAGTCGACATTACACCACCACTCTCGATTTATTCCAAAGGTCTTGGGGTAATTTTTCTTCGTATCCTCGTACTGACTATATATTCATTTGTCTCCACAAAATGATAATACGAGCATGTTGGAAACCGGTTTAATATTTATTTTCGCTAAATCTTGCCGTATATGTGCGCGCGCGGAATAATAGCGAATACATTCAATATTATTATACGTTTAATCTTGGAAATTAATGGGCGAATTTCGAACGTACTTGCCCCAGTGTTTACCATTGTTATGTTATCAGTAAAGCTAGTCTACGATCTCCGCTACTTAAATATAAACAAGAGCTCGCCGAGTGCGTGATATTCGTGGAATATCGTATATTTCTTGGCTCAATTAGATTTTCAATGGTAATTGCATAATCATGCAGTTTGAATCGTTCATTGGCATTAAAGGCATTAGTGGGGCGCTGGCAATCATCATTCACCATGGGAACATCAACAATGTCAACTACACCAAGGCTTTCATGCTGGCCAACGTACAGGAAGAGAGCACCATCCCACAAAAAAAGCCGGCGATCGTAATTGATGCAATCGCAGCGCCGCCGTATATGATTACGTAGTTATAATTGGAAATTTAATTGGGCGCTATAGATCAGAAAACGTAGCATTTTCAATGAAAACTGCAAAATTAATTTCTTTGTTAATTTATGTTCTCTCATTCTCGTATTTGGCGGAAACAAATTCTCTCCTTTAATGGTGCGAGTCGTAGTTTTGCAAGATTCGCGCTTAGAAATCCCTACTTCTAAATAAAGTTCCGAGCAATAGATGCCAAGAACAAAAACTCTAATAGTTACGAAATCGCATTTTTTCTTACGAACATACTTTTTAGTTTGCATAACAAAAGGATGGAACGATAAATGCGTCGGGGAACGGATAAAGTGCGTTATTGTTGAAAAACGATTATGAATAATCAATGGCACTGTTGCGCATCAATTTCTAAGTGAAAATCCACGGATTTTGAAATTGAAATGCTATATAGGTCGTGTGCATAAAGGTCATTTAAAAGTAAAATTTCACAAGCCAACGATTAATAACGGTCGACGAATGCGATTTCAAAGCCTAGTACGATGGAGATTGAACGAGGGCGATTAATCAGCAACGAATTTATCGTGGGGCGCGATCGCCAAATAAATTCTCACCCCGGTGCAAAAAAAAAAAAAAAAAAAACAAAAACAAAAAAATGAAGAAAAAGCAAAGCAAAACAAAACAAAACAAGAACGCGATAATAAGTGCGGGAGGTGAGTGGCCGTGAGAGGGCCGGGAAGGAGGTCAAATTCGCACAGACATTGAGACGTGAGCCCCGGAGAAAGCAGCTTGGAATCGACGCGCGACGGTCGATCTTATCGAGCCAGACCGGAGCAAGATATATGTAATATAGCTCCTAGAGGACTAATGCCCTCGCCCTCCCTGCACGCGCCCCGCCTCGTCCCTCCCTTAGCCGCTCCCAGTTAACACCGCGGTATCTTTCGCCGACGCCCCACGCGCTGGAATCTTCAGTGAGATAAGGCTCATCTTCTCGCGTACTATACAAACAGCATGTCGCTCACTGATTGCGAAGTGTCTTTACTCCCACCCACCATCCATTGCGCCCGCTCCATTTCCGCTCCCCCTCGCCCCACCCCCCACCCCCACCGCAACCCACAACCCACTCTCTCTCAGTCTCTCAGACTCTCAGTCTCCTTATTTCGCGCTCTTAGGAAGGCGCCCTTGTTTATGCTTCTTCATTTATGCCAAAAGACACGTCATTAGCTTTTCGCGTTGGTCCCTAGTGGTTTGTTATGCGCCAACTTTTTTCCCGTATGCCCAAGATAACGCGTGGCGTTCCTTTTCCTTTTTTCTCCGAGTTTCACGTTGCTCCCCGGACTTTTTAATGGAATTCAAATTTTACATTCCGCAGCTTTTCATCTCCGAGAATCTTGGCAATGTATGCTCAAAGTGAATACTTTAATTATCTTAATTTCAAAACATATTCAAATAGTGTGTAATTGCAATTCAAAGCAAATTGGATAGTTGGAAAGAGTAAGTGAATTAATTCGCTTTGAAGGCAATTTGTTGGTATATTTATGCATCGTAAGTGTATGAGACGTGAAGAACAAGGGGAAGATAAAGATATCAACTGGTAATGCGTGTTAACTGGAATCTTAGTGGTGGGTACAGTGGGTGGGTAGTGTTCTTGGGCATCGGATTAATAAATACGTGGGACGAAGTATCGCTTAGTAGTAGCTCGCGTGCGTCCAAGCAAGATTAATTTTCCTATAATTTTCAGGGACTAATAATTTAGAACTGGATGAGGGTAAATTTGATAGTTTTCGGCGAGTTTTTGTTAGGCTACATCGTGCAAGGAGTCGGGAAATAAGGAATTCCCGTTCATATAGTCAGCAATGTTTTATAACTGCTAAGCTCGTTGTTTTTCTACTCTGACGAAATGGGTTTTACCGTCCTTTCATAATAATCGTGATAATTGTTTATAATAGTTTCGACAAACGTAGCTAAGGTAAATTTGAGTGAGGAGGAACGCCTACGTTCGTCGTTCCATTTTGCTTAATGGGGCTAGGGGGAGAGGAGGAGATGGTGAGAGGTGCGAAAGAAAGTATGGAAATGAACTTTTCATGATTTTTAATATAAAAAAGAAAAAAAGAAATGTATTCAACTCATTTCTAAGAGCTAAAGGGATCGAGTGCAATATTTATCTTTTATTCGAAATTACTGAAAGCCTTTCTGTGTTTATGGGCTTACTTAATGGATTACTATTCTAACAAATTTTTATGATTCAAGCTTATCTTGCCTACTAATAACAAGAAAAAAAAAAAAAAACTTGTAAAGAAAACCAATATCAATGGTACATTGTTTTATGAAATTCAACATGCTATGTTGCAATTGTAAAGACAAAGCAATAAAACACAAATATTTTTATCATAAAGTTACTGTATTTCATAATCAGAAATCTTTGATAGATCTAAGGTATAAAAGTACATGGTTAATTCTTACCAATTCTCTATATTATTTTTAAGCAGCATATGTTTTTTGCTTACAAATGTAAGTCTCTTTGTAAATTTGCCTAGTTTTACGAGTTATAAATTAAGACATTGGTAGATCAGTTCTGCGGCATGTCTAAACCACATTTCTATATTCAAAGTGTAAAAATTCGAATACGAAGATGACGAAGACGAAAAAGACGAGGAAGACGATAAGAGGGACATCATAAAACTGATCTGTATTAACGGCTGCGTACTTCATCCATATCTCGTGATCTTCATTGAAAAAAAAAAAAAAAAAAAAAAACTCACGCACGCAGAAAAACAATAGAAGCAAAAATAGCAGCGGCAATATTAACGACAACGACAAAGACAATCGCAGCCACGAACAAATAAATAAATTCCAACTCGTTTAACGCAACATTCGACTATAGTTTCCTCTCCCGGTTTCACCCCCGCCATACCGAGCGCTCGTCAACCCAACGAACTAAATTTTTCAAACGGTCATAAAACCCAATAGCATCGGTTCTTAGAAAACAGCACGACTACGCAATTTATTCACGGTAAAATTAAAGCTCGTTTTGCGTGAAAAAGGAAGGAAAGACGAAAAAGCGAGAAACAAGTCGATGCCGATGTCAACATGTCGGCCCAGTCAAGAGAGAAGCCTTTTTTCCAGCCTCCTCGGTAAACGTTCTTTTTTCTGACGCGCCAACCCGCAAACACACTGCCAGTGTACGTGTGCATTCGCATGCAAATACGGGTCGGTGCATAATGACCTGGCGGAGAAGAGGGAGGCGTACATTAATTTACCGACTGCGGGATTGGGAGCAAGTGACGGCGGTGTATTAGTACGACTGAATTGAATCGTTTTGGGGAGGAGGACGGGAGCCGTGATACAAGGGACAAAGGGACCGCGGTGTCGGTGCCGGAGGACAGCCGGATGACGCGCGCGCGTGCGATGGGATGAGGGGGCGTGAAGGGCGGAGGGCCGGCGGAATGGAGGTTATCCGAATTGAATTATTGTTGCTGTGGGCGGGGTGGGGGTCTCGTCAATGCTCTCCGCTCCCTATGGGAGCGAGGACACGTCACCTGCCGTCGCCTTTCCCTTATGCCTCCTCTCAGCCCTCCTCTTTATTTCACTTACCTGATACGTACCCTACGTACGTACATCGGCTTTCGTCTCCCTCTTAAGTGGAACGCATTTCTAATATATGTCCCGCGATTCCGCGAATTCCACGATTAGGGGCGGAGGTGGGGCTTTTTTGCGGTTGCACGCCGGGGGCTTACCGGAGTGAGCGCGCAGACCTTACGTCATTAGGTTTATTCGAGGAGTTTCGTCGCTGGTTAGGAGACGAGTCAAAATAATTTGCCCCGGTCCTTCTATATCCTACGGGTGGGCTGCATTCCGTTGCGGCCGAGTCGTATTTACGTCGTCTGTGGGAGCGCGCGGCCATTGGCATTAAGAGATCGCAAAAGGAGTCTCCCATCAAAGGTTAGTTGTCAAGGATGAAACGGCATTAAAAAATGACATTTGGATTGGGATTTGAGAAAACGAGGCTCCAACATCGATCTAAATATATATTTAGAAAATGATGATACGCCTGGTACGTACGTGGCGAATTCATTACGGCATATTCGGAGAAAGAAATACGAGTTTAATAATAAAGGCCCCTGTTTTTTTTTTCCTTTCCCGTTCCTTTTTCTACTTCGCCGCCATAATGAAGTCTCTTCGCCTCGAGGGCCGTTGCCGCGTTATATGCACTGATTGCACAGCAGGCGGCTGCCACTGCCCCGGATGAACACATTTTCGAGATAGCAACTGCTTACTCTTCCCTCTCTGTCTCGTCCTCTCTCCCTTTCTCCTTGTCTTTCCTCGCCTGCCTCGCGTCCGCCACCAGGCGCTCTATCCCTCCTGCCCCGCTCTCCCGTACATATCCCCTCGCGTCCTTCGCCCCGTCAGCGTTCTACGTCATCCTGTCTTACATTCCGAATGTAGATGCGAATTTTCTGGGAGGGAAAAAATTAAATTCCTAGCGGGTTGGAGATGCGAGAATTTCGGCCCAGATATATTCCGCGGAATAACTCATCGGGCTCACGGATATTGGGCAAAGGCTTTGGATGACCTAGAAAAGCCTGCTGGCGAACCTAGCCGGGGAATAAAGAGAAAGAGGCCTTGGGGTCATTTTTCGTTAATTGAATGACATGTCTTTAATTAAAAGGAGCGCGAGCAAAACTGTAAAAATTAATTAAAATTCTTAAGAGCGTAGCGCCAAGAGTGAAGCGCCTCGATCCTATACTGTCCAATTAAATTCTTCAAGTATAATAAGATACGAGATTTTGATTGTTGTTGAAAGGATACCTCTGTGAAATATGATCGTTCAATTATTTCAAAGAATTTACATCGATATTTAGGACACTTTACATAAGCGTGTCTTGTATTGCGTAATAATGTTGCGCGTTATTTAAATATAAAAATTCAGCGTGCCAGAATGTACTTTTTCTTCCTGCGTTTTGCAGGAATTACTTCATGTCACGTTCGTCCC